CAGTGATGGAAGAATTGAACAATGGGAAAAGCCCCTGTGTTTGTTTTTTTACTGATTCATGGACAGTGGCCAATGGCCTGGCCACATGGACGGGTAGTAGGGCAGTGGAAATCTGGCCCACTTATGGGATACAGCCATATGGAAATTTGAGGGGTGCATTAAAGTAGGACCTGTCAGTACCCATCAGAAAAACTCCCAGGTTTGAAAGGTGATTGGAATCCACAAAATGATATCCCCATGTGCTCACTTAAGGTGGCTTCCTAGGCCCATGAAATAAGTGGACATTGGGGATCTGCAGCAATGCAGAGATAGGTTGAGTCTAGACATACTCTCTGAGCCACAAAATGCCAGGAAGAATTGCTCTGTCTGCCAAGAAAAGAGACGAGACCGCAGCTGGCTATGTGGCAGATTTCCTGGTGGGGAGGCCCTGAGCATGACTGATGAAGTCAGGCTGATGCTGGGAGCCCTGAGGGGCTACAAATGGGATGGATCCTGATAGGACTAGACACTGACTCTGGACTGGGATTGGCTTGCCTGGTTACCTGGTGGCAGCTGCCAATGCTCAGAGTATTATGAGAGAACCAGAACAGAAGAGACCGCACGAATCTGAATGGCTGACATCATTTTTCAGACCAAGAAACTCACCTTATAGCCCGTGATGTCCAACAATCAGCAGAGAGATGTTCTCCTCAGAGTACTGGTTTGTTAGAGAACTACAGCAGGATACTGAATCACTGCTTCTCTAAAACAGGGAGAGAGAAAAGCATGAAGGGCCGGCTTAATGCCTTCGCAAGTGTGTGCTCACACTCAACATGAGGGGGGCTGAAGGAAAGTCCCCTCTAGATAGACTTCTTTAGTTTTTCTGGTGGATCCGGGGTAGAGAAGGTACATGTACACTTCCTTCCCCACATCACGTCAGTGTTTTTTCCCCTGCTTGATGCACTGGTTATAGGACCAATGCTGCAAATACAAGGATAGCAGCAGGGATGACACCTAAAGCAAGAAACTGTAACTGTCAGAATTCTGAAGGGCCTGATGAGCAGGTTGTGACTTCAGCCCATCTGGCCAAATTAGGGTGAACAGTGAATGCAGCTATATGCCTGGTGGAAAAGTAACCCACTGCTCTGGGCCTGTGTAACCTCACTCTGTGTGAACAGGAGTGGACCGAGGCAGAGGCACTTACTAGATTAGTATTGCTGCCTGCTCTCTGATTAGTGCAGTGCATGAATCTTATGTCCCTTCCATGGGTGGAAATGTTTGGGATTAAATGGAGACAGGAAAAAAATGTAGCTATGGGTAAAGGAATGAATACATGAGTTACATAATGAGAGAAATCCAATATTACATCAGCACCTGGAAACAGGTGCAGAGTGAGCTAATACCCAGACTTTCCTGTTACCAACTCTCTAATCTTACTTTTTTATTATTCCATGACATACAGGCCAAACCATTAGCCACTGCTCATGAATAGGTGCTGTTATGGCTTGCATTGTATACTCCCTCAAATAGGTACACTGGTATCCCAACCCCCAGTGCCTCAGACATCAGCTATATTGGATTAGGACGGACCCTAATTTGTTTTGAAGTATTGTAATGCAGTTACTATCAATGTACAAGAATGTTACAGAATCATTGACGATATTCTCCATGCTGTACTGCCATCCCCTAAGTAACCAACTTACATTGTGATTATGAATTATTGTGCCCTTTATCCTCCTCCCCCTCCATCAGCCCCAACCTCTCCCCCTTGATAACCACTAGTCACTTCTCAGTGTCTATGAGTCTAATGCTGTTTTGTTCCTTCTGTTTTGCTTTGTTTTTATATTCCACAAATAAGTGAAATCACATGGTATTTGTGCTTCTCCACCTGGCTTACTTCATTGACCATAATTCCCTCTAGATGGGATGGACCTTAGTTTGGAGATAAGGTTTTAACAGAGGTAGTCAAGTTAAAATGAGGTGATTAGGATGGACTGTAATCCAATATAGCGTTGTCCTGATAAAAAGGAGAAATGCAGACAGACAGAAACACGTATAGGGAAAACTATGTAAAGAGACACAGGGAGAAGATGGCCACCCACAAGCCAAGGAAAGAGACCTGGAACAGAGTCTCCCTCGCAGCTTTGCAAGGAACCAACCCTGCTAACAACTTGATTTGAGACCTCTAGCCTCCAAAATTGAGACGATAAATTTCCTATTATTTAAGCCACCCAGTTTGTGATACCTTGGTATGGCAGCCCTGGAAAACTAAAATGCAGATCTGAACCTCTGAGCATCTCTTTCTAGGGAAAGTGAACAGTTGGATGTATTACCCACAAACTGGGGGAGGGAGGAATTCCCTTCTGTTCTGTCCTTTTGAGCCAGGCCTGCAGAATGTAACACTCAAACGGTCTTCTTATGGATTATGCCAGATTTCTGTGTGGAAACATTTCTAAAGCAGACTCAAATGTTCTCTCCTGAGTCACCTGATCACAGGGAACTCCCAGTAAGGCCTCAGATGTAGGCTGGAAGAGAGGCAGTAATGCAGGAGCAGCAGGTGCACTGCCAGTGTGAACCACCCAGTCATGGAACATATGCACACTCTCCAGACCTCCTCATGTGTGACCCCGTGTTACCACTCCCACTTGAAGAGGGAGGGGGGCTACACGTGAAGCCACTGGTATGGCTTGATGAATCAGGTAACACCTAGTAAATTATACGCATCTCAGATCACATGTTTACTCAGTGTCCCACAGTCAGGGGTTCAGTCTCTGCTGTGGTAACATTAAGCCAGTAACTGTGTTACTAGATCTTTAGGAAGCAGACCCTGAGACAAAGTGTAGGGTGTTTGCTAGAGAGTTCTTTGGGATTCACACCTGTGGAATGGAGGTAGTGGAGGCCGGATTTATTAGAGGGAGAAGGTGGGAGCTCTGAAGCTAAGGCCTTTTAGACTTGTGCTGTGTTGGACTGAAATGGCCGGGTCTTTATATTTTCACCTTGATCAGTCTTTGGATGTGGCCTGCCCTGCAAAGGGTGTAACAGCTGAAGGGTGGCTGTTACAGTGACGGCACTCCTGTCATGCCCCGAAGCTCTGCCAGAAACAAGTCCTCCTTTGAAGGGGAATCTGAGTGGTGCATCTCCATGTCATTGCAGTCCATCCACCTCCTGTGCCACTCAGATCTCCTTCTTCTTATGTATTCTGGGAGCAGCTTCTTCATAGTTGTGAAGGGTCTCTATTCCTGGGGGAAATTTAGAAGAGAAAGTTCAACGGGATGACCTATATTCCCTACCACTGAAACTGGTTTTAGGGTTATAGGACATAATCATTGTCTCCCTTCTCTACTATCCACTCTAGATTTCTTCTCACCCTCCACCAGCATGTCTGCTAGATTCAGTGGTTTACCTGGTGGTTAATCCGATCTTCACTTGTAAGAGTTCTGAGCCCTGGTCATCATGCCCTTCTCAATCTGGGATTTTTGCTTATATCCAGTTACTAAAATAAATGGGCAAATAGGTACCAGGAGGTAACCAATTGGGTCAATAGGCTGCCAAACATATTTTCCCTGGCTCCCAGGGTGTAATAGCAGCCCTACTTTCTCCTGATGATCAGGGTCAATTTCTGCTGTGAAGCTGGTGTCTCCTCTTCTTCTCTGCTGAATTATGGTCACATGGAACCCAAACAATCGAGGTTACTACCTTAGCTTATAGTATAGTTGGGAATCTTGCTATGTACCCTGGTGGAAATATTTCCCTTAGGGACGAAGTCTTCTAATTCTGCAGAGACCAGAGTTTCAGAAATGGAAGCACAAATTCCCCAAATGGTTTGTTGGAAGCAATGATAACTAAGGACATTCCTGCCATTCAAAGGTTTTAGTTTTGGTCTCTATTGTGGGCAGGTAGGGTATTTGGCTGTGGAAGCTGCTAAACAGCCTTGGTAAGAGAGGCACTGGCATAGCTTTCATCTCGTCTCTAATGTTACAGGGAACCATTCAGTATTTTGTCATTAAGTATGATGTTAGTTACAGGATTTTTGTAGATGTTCTTTACCACAATAAGGATGTTGTCATCCTCTAGGATGCTGAAAGTTTTCACAGAATGCATTTCAAAATTTTCAGATTTTCTTTGCATTTATTGAGCTAATCATACACATGTTCTCCTTTATTTTGTTAATATAGTGAATTACATTGATAGTTTTAATTGAACACATACTATGTTTATCATTTAGGGATTTTATTCATTTTTTGAGTAACATAAAATTCCCACAACAGGACCTACAAGTCAACAAGGGACTTACTCTCTCCTGGGAAAGTTCAGAATAGGAAGTACAAAGATAATGCGGCTGCTCAACAATACAATAGAGGAGCGAAATTACTCGTTTGTTTTCACTGCAGCATCGTATGACTTAGGAAAACAGAGCCATTAGAAGTATTATGAGAAATATGCACTCACTACAGAAATTAGACCTCTTGAATCTGAGAAGAGGGAATTGGAGGATTAGAGAAAGTCTCTAATCATGATATCCTGAAACAGTGGTATGAACTGGCAACTTGTGTGCAAGGAAATTCAAATAGCTGTGCATTTCTAGCCACCAAAGTGGGACCAGAAAGGGGGAGCTCATGCAGATGTTCACTGAAGCTGCCACCTCTGAGGGAACTGAAGTTAAGGGCTTGATGATTGGCTCAGGGCTGATGTTGTTCAACAAGACCAGTAGCCAGGAAGATTAGCTTGAAATTTGGAATTTCTGAATAGTTATGGATCTGCTTGTCAATCTGCTATTTACATATCCTTTTGAGATTAATGGCTTCTTCTTCATTTCTGCATCCTAATTCTCAAGGAGTTTCCTCTATTGCCCAATTTTAACTAATACACACATAGCAAAAAGAATTCTGGAAAATGTAGTTCTAAGCCTCATGTAACACAGTCCAGCACAACCATCATTTCCCTCGCTCTCATCCTAGTTGCAAGGTCTCTCTTTTCATCTTGAAGTGTTTCCAACTTGAAGGAGGAGCAAAATACAAAAGGTGAAATTATCAAGTCTGATGAAACCACCCTTTTTTTTTGATAATGCTGCACTATTTTTATTTATAGCAACTACATATTGATCAAGTCAATTAGCTGTATACTATTCCAGGTACAAACATTCTAGAGATATCTCTCAACAGTAAAGATCAATAACCTGAATATTTCTAAGTTCTCAGTAAAGAATAAGGGCAGAATAGATAACAGGTGGGCAAATCCCAGGGTCTGCCACACTTGGCAGGGAAGAAAATGCCCAAAAGTACCAAATTCAATATCACAATGACTACATGCATTGTGTATAGTGGAAATTACTTAGAAACAATAACAAAACTCATTTCATACATTTACTTACATATTAAAAAATACACTTTATGTCAGTCCAAGGAGACTTCACAACAGAAATGAGACAATATATATAAGTGAACCACAATAAAATAATATATATTAAAAAATGTGATATAGTTGAAAGGGTACTGGGAGCAACAGTTACCACCATAAAGTCTTAAATTAGAAAATGTAAACTATAAATTATGAGCTAGGGATCATTTCACAGATGAGACACTGATAAAGCAATTACATATTTACAACAGTTTAAAGAGTTCTCTTCCAGTAGGAATTTCCTTATGCATAATAAAAGAAGAGATGCACCTGAAGGCTTTACCATTTTGCTTACATTCATGTACATAAGTTACAAAAACCCAGTGTGATTTTTCAAGTGTCTTTGAAGTGTGAGGGAAAACAAGAAGACTTTCCGCATTCTTAAATTCTCACCTCCCAGTATGAGTTCTCACTTGGTAAGGAATGAGAAAGACTTGAAAGCGTTCCCACATTCTTCATATTTACATGAAATCACTTCAGTGTGTGTTCTTGCATTAGCACTAAAGGGTTAGGAATTATACTTTCCCACATTTCTTACATGGTTTTTCTCCAAAATAACTGAATTTTTACAGGGCTTTGAAGTAAATAGATACAAGTTAAGACTTTCTTATACTCCAAATATTAATAGGATTTCTCTCCAGTGTGAGTTCTCATGTTTTGATGAGGAACAACTGAAGGCATTCCTCCCTTTCATATATTTAGTGTTTCTCTCCAATGTGCACTATCATATGTACAGTAAAATGTGAATAATAAAATAAGGAGTTGTCACATTGTTTACAAGTATAGGGCCCCTCTCCAGTGTCTGTACTCATGTGTTACTAAAGGAGGAGGGAAAACTAGACTTTCCCAAATAACTTCCATGTACAGAGTCTCTTTCTGGTATGTTTTCTGACTTGTAGAGTAAGCCCTGAAGAATAAGTGAAGGTTTCCCCGCATTCCTTATATTCATGAGGCTTCTTTCCAGTACAAGTTATTACATGTATATGTGGGATGTGGAAGAAATAAAGGCTTTCTCATGTTCAATGGGTTCTCACATGTGCCCTCAAGGATGAGGGACAATTGAATTTTCCACATTTTTTATATTCATTGAATTTCTCTACAGTGAGAGTTTTCACATTTTCTAAGAAATGAAAAAAGTGGAAGGCTTTTCCACATTTTTTCACAATATATGAATACAACCTCCATCATGAGTTTTTACATATACAACAATGAATGAAGAATAGAGCTTTCCTGCATTTTGTATATTCATAATACTCTTCTCCAGTGTGAATTTTACATGTGCCTAAGATACCAAGAACAGCTGAAGGGTTCCCAGAATTCTTTATATTGACAGGATTTGTGTCCAGTATGTGAACTCATGTATGTCTTAGCAAATGAATGATAAATGAAGACTTTCTCACATTCATTGAATTCATAAATTCATAGGCTTTCTCTTCAGTATGAGTTCTCTTGTGTACATTTATATCTGGAATCTGGCTGAGGATTTTTCCAAATGGATTACCCCCATTGTATTTCTCTCCACTATAGAATATCTCTTACACATTATATATTAAGATCTTTCTGAAATATTTTCCAGTTTGATTATATAGTCTTAGACATTCTCTACCATATGAATTTTTAATCTCTCCTGTGTCTTGTTCCAATCTTATATACCATGGCAAAAAATATGAGGATTACATAATAGGAAGGAATTTCACATTGTAGGTGAGATAGCATGATACTAATTAAAGGCAGACTGTGATAAGTAAAGGCTGTATATTCTTATCCTTAGAGAAACTACTTCCAAAAATGTTATAGGTAAAAAGTCAATTTAGGATATAAAATGGAATTTCAACAAATACACAATTAAGCCAAAAGAAAGCAGAAAATGAGAAACAAAGAAATTAAAACAGGATATGAATAAAAAATGCAATAGACAAAATCATATAAAAATTGTATTAAGTATAAATAGAGTGAACTCTCCAATTAAAAGTCAGAAATGATAAGACTGGATGGAAAAGCAAGATCTAATTCTATGTAGTTTACAAAAGATATACTTAAAATATAAAGACAGGTAGAAATATAAGGATGAAAAACAATATATCATACAAACCCTAAATATAATATGGAGTGACTCTATAACATCAGATTAAAAATATTATTAGAGACTAAAAGGGATGTTTCATAATGATTAGTGTCAATTTCTCAAGAAGATAAATAATCCTACCTATGTGCACATCTAATAATTCTGGAACTGAAAGGAGAAATAGACAAATTCATAATCATATTGAAGAATTTTACATATTTATCTCAGTAATTGATAAAACACGTAGGAAAACAATGGTAAAAATAAAGAGATTTAAACATTACCAGACAAGTTGGCTTAAGTGATGTTTATAGAACACTGCACACAAGTGTAAAACACAAATTTATTTCAAATACGCATGGGAAACTTACCAAGATAACCTATATGTTGGATAATAACATCAAAACAACAAAACTCAATAAATTTCAAAAGACTTAAATCATGCAGAGTATATTCTCAGAACAAAACAGAATTATCTGAATATTAAAAATGATATCCCTGAATATTTAAGAATTAGGCAACACAGTTCTTATTAACCAATGGGTCAAAGACGAGATCAACAGGGAAATTATAGATAAATTCAAGCTGAATAATAATAAAACCACAAAGTATCAAAATTCATGAAATAAAGCTTAAGTAATCATAGAAATAAATTTATAGCTTAAATTTATACTTTTAAGTATTTAAATCTATAATAGAAAAGAAAGCCTTAGAGAAACTAGAAAAGAAGAGAAAACTAAACCCAAAGTATTTATAAGAAAGAAACTGAAAACATAAGAGTAGAAATAAATGAAACAGAAAACAGAAAGTCATAGGAAAATAACAAAGACAAGGGTTGGTTTTTTAAAAAAGATAAATAAAATGGATACACTCAGAAAATACTGATAAAAACAAGAGAAAACATATTTTATTAACATCCAGAATGAAAGAGGGGAATCACTAAAGATCTAAATATATTGAAAAATTTATAAAGGAATGTGTTCAATAACTTCATGCCAATAAATTTAACATCTTATATAAAATGGACAAACTGTCTAAAAAACACCAGTTGTCAACTGACACAAAAGGAAACAGAAAATTGGAATTACAGCATACCTATTTACAAAATTGATTTTGCAATTCAAAATCTTCCCACAAAGAAAATGTTAGCCACAGACAGCTTCTGGGGTAAGTTCTATCAAATACATAAAGAAGAAATAATAAATATCTTATACAAACTCTTTCATAAAGGAGAAGAAGAGGAAACAGTTGTCAATTCATTTTATGAGACCATATATCCCTGAAATTAAACCTAACAAGGGTATAACATGAAAAAATATATACAGACCAATATCTTCATGAGCATAAATGCAGAAACTCTCAACAACCTATTAGCAAATTGAATCTGTCTAATAGGTAATATCTTAATGCACACTGCTGCATGCTACCTGGAAGAAAAACATTAAAAAATTTGCCTGGTCAAAAAGACATATGCACCCCTGTTTATCGCAGCACTATTTACAATAGCCAAGAAATGGAAGCAACCTAAGTGTCCATCAGTAGATGAATAGATAAAGGAGATGTGGTATTTATACACAATGGAATATTATTCAGCCATAAGAAGAAAACAAATCCTGCCATTTGCAACAACATGGATGGAGCTAGAGGGTATTATGCTCAGTGAAATAAGCCAGGCGGAGGAAGACAAGTACCAAATGATTTCACCCATCTGTGGAGCATAAGAACAAAGCAAAAACTGAAGGAACAAAACAGCGGCAGACTCACAGAACCCAAGAAATGGACTCACAATTACCAAAGGGAAAGGGACTGGGGAGGATGGGTGGGAAGGGAGGAATAAGGGAGATTAAGGGGCATTAAAATGAGCACACATAATGTCAGGGGAGGCGCACGGGGAAAGCAGTATAACACAGAGAAGACAAGTAGTGATTCTATAGCATCTTACTACGCTGATGGACAGTGACTGTAATGGGGTATGTGGTGGGGACTTGATAATGGACAGAGTCTAGTAACCATAATGTTGCTCATATAATTGTACATCAATGATACCAAAAAAAAATTAGCCTTGGCAATCACAGCCATACAGGTGCTCTTTCATTCCCAGTTTGCAGGACTCCAGTTCTTGGATCTTCTTTGATACCTTTGTAGTCTCCTGTTGCTGCTGTCCAATGCTCAGATGGAGAAGGACTTGATTCAGATTTCACTGTTCAGATTCCAGCTGTGACCTCCATCACTACTGCTGCAATAGCCATTTGAACTTGCAAGTGGGAAACAACCAATAGGACCAGGATTAGGGTAAGGCAAGTGTCTCAGAGGTAAAATTAATGGGTCACCAAAAAAAACTCTGTAGTAAAGATAGATACTATTTAATAAAATATTCTAAAAAAAAGTCACACTTAAAAGAAGCCATGATGAACTAAATAAAAATTTTATATAAAGACAGGACTCAGCCCTAAACTTGCACAACTCGGCCTCACCCTAATCCTAGACCTGTCTCATTATGATCTCAACTTTATTGTCTTCTGATCTCATTAAAGGGGAAAAAATGACCGAATCCACTGTACAGTCTCCTCTTCTGAGTCGCTTCTTCAAGGGTAAATGGGCTACCAAACTTCTAGATCCAAAAAATGCTAGCATTGTTAAATTTATGGAGAAAATTCCTTTAGTTTGCAAATATGATCTCTCCCAGAATGTTACTAATGCCAATTTCATTACATACATTTATGCACTAGAGAGAAAAATATCTTTATTATGTGGAAAAGCAATGTGACTGTGGCATACACTATGTCTGTAGTGCATCTCCACCATCTGTTAAAGCTACTACCCAGACACACCTACTCACACCTATGCTCAAATGCACACAGGTACAAACACACACAAATAAACAAACACTCTGGGTGCAGCTGTGGAGATCTAAAATTTTTTGAAAAAAATAAAATGAAATAAAATTGTCTGAGGCATTACCATTCATGTGTTATGATAGATTTTATTGATTTTTTCATGACTATGCTGAAAAACTGGAATTAATGCTCTCTTCAAGATCAATCAAAAAAAGACATAAATATTAATTCTTTAGAGATGCCTTTAAATTCTACAGTTTACCAATAAAATATTTGTTAAGTAATATAGGTGAGAAGTAGTGGATACTGACACATTAGGGTCTCTGGACCTATTTCAAAATACACATCTCTGTATATCGAAAAGGTTGTTAGAAATTTCTGATCCTTCCACCAGGTGTATTTTACCAAAACATGTAGCTTGCTGATCCACTTATGAACATTTTCAGGATATATATTTAGTCAATGTTTTTTATGATGTAAAATTGGTGCTCTGATACTTCCTTGCCTAAAAGGGAAGCCAGTGTCCTGGATCACCACATAAACATCCTAGTCATCTGGGCATGACACCACAAACGTGGGTATGAAAGTATAGCTGGCATTGATCAGCCCATCTTCCCATTCTATTCTCCAAAGCTCAGCTGTTTTGGGTTGCTACTAGCCAGGCATATGCCCTTGAAAATTCAATTATGTGTGTATGCTTGTACTAGCCAAGTTGATGGAGGACTCAATAAAGACATAAAGTCAGCCACAGTAGCTCAGAGTACTCTCCCTTTTAACACCTATGGGAAAGCAAAACTACGTTTCTGGCAAGCATCTCTCACAACCTCAATATACAACCTGGGAGCTAGTGAGACAACTGTGTAAATCAACAAGAGATGTGTCAGTTTGAAATGCATTTGTCTTTTTCATCAACAGTTGCTTAATCCCTTAGGGGCTTATTTATATCATGCAACACAAAGCCTGGGAGAAGGTAGTGCAGAGTTGGTGTAGCAGCTTAACAATGCTGTAAGAAATTCAGGGGGCTTTCCATCTTATCATATCTGGTATACAGACCTTTGTTTTATGGTATTTCTCTTATGACTACAAGGTGGCTGGTTCAATTTAAGGTTTACTCCCAATACCCATGCCAGTTAAGGAAAAGGAAAATGGGCAAAAGGCCTAAGGAATATACCCCTCAGACCGCCGCTTTCAAAAATATTTCCCTTAAGTCCAATCCCCCAATTGAACTTTTAAATCACTAGCAATAGTGGACTCCTATCTGGAAGGGGTTATGGGAATATAAATACTTTGTCCTACACTAGGGCAAGGCAAAGAAAAATGGGCTTAGAAATGGTTGTGTTAGTAGCCATTTATATTCATTTCCTGTTGCTACTGTAAGAAATTACCACAAATTTAGTGGCTTAAAAACACAAATTTATTATCTTACAGTTCTGGGGATCAAAAGTTAAACTGGGCTAATGTAAGGTAGGGCTGCATTCCTTTCTGGAGGCTCTGAGGGAGAATGCATTTTCTAGACTTTTCTGGATTCTGAGGCTACCCACAGTCCTCTAATAACGGCTTCTTTCTATCATCAAAGTTAGTAATGGTTAGTTTAGTCTTTTCACATAACATCATTCCTATACTGACTTTTCTGCTTCTCACTTGCACTTCTTATTAAGGGCTCTTATGAGTGCACTAGATTCTCCTAGATAATCTAGGGTAATCTCCTTATTTTAAAGTCAGCTGATGATCAACCTTAATTCCATCAACAACCTTAATTACCCTTTGCCACATAATGTAAGGTATTCACAGATTCCAGAGATAAGGACATGGATACTTCATGGGACCATTATTTTCCCTATTACAGTCTACCCTCTGGTCCCCAGAGATTCACATCCATCCCACATAAAAAATACACTCAAGGTCCCCAAAGATCTCATGTCATTCCCATACCAACTCAGTGCATAATTTCATCCAAATCTGATAGCTCAAAAATCCCACACTTCATCACCTAAATCATCTAAATTAGGTATGGGTAACACCCTGAGTATTACCCACCCTGGACATGATTCCTCTCCATCTATGCACTAGTGAAACTAAACAAATTAGCTCCTCTCCTTACCATACAACAGTAGGACAGGTAGGGTAACAATTACAAACATTTTACCTCAAAAAGAGAGAAAATGAAAAGAATAAAGTGAGTCCCTTTTCCCAAGGTAGAAATCCATCCAGGAAAACTGCTTTGGCTGGGCTTGAAGCTCCACATCTGGGCTCCAGGCTCTGGGCTAAAGGTGCAAGGAGGTCACTTGCAAATTTCTCTGCAATAGCAAGGGACAATTGCAAGCAATGTATTACTTGGTCCTAGAGTCTACTGATCTTTAAAATATATAGGAACACCTTAAACACAGTCAATCTGGGTATCAGTAAATCTGTTCAGGACCCTTAAAAGCATCATAACTTCAGTTAGACATAATGAAGAACCAGTAACTCTTTTAAGCATTAATTTGGATGTGAAAGAATAGATGATACACATATATTCATGAGGTATCATATGTATTTTAGCATGAAACTCTAGTGATTACAAGTGTGATATAAAATAAATAGTATGAAATCTTACATGTTGCTGTCTATTAGTAAAAAAAAAAAACAGTTTGAAAGAAAGTGGATATGGGTAAATACAAGTTAATTCTACCCAAACAGAAAAGGTGTTATAGAAAAGTTAGAGCTTTGTAAATAATAAAAACTAAAAAGACGACCAATAATTTAAAAGTGAAGTGTAATAAAAAGGGATCAGGCTTAGCAAAACTGCATAGCTACATGCAAGAGAATGAAACTGGATTACTGTCTAACCCATGGATCAAAGACCTGAATGTAAGTCACAAAACCATAAAACTCTTAGAAGAAAACATAGACAAAAATCTCTTGAATATAAACATGAACAATTTTTTCCTAAACGCATCTCCTTGGGCAAGGGAAACAAAATAAAAAATGAACAAATGGGACTACATCATGCTAAAAAGCTTCTGTACAGTAAAGGACACCAACAGCAGAAAAAAAAAGGTATCCTAAGTGTGGGAGAATATATTTGTAAATGACATATCCGACAAGGGGTTAACATCCAAAATATGTAAAGAATTCACATGCCTCAACACCCAAAAGCAAATAACCCTATTAAAAAAGGGGCAGAGGATATGAACAGGCATTTCTCCAAAGAAGAAATTCAGATAGCCAACAGGCACATGAAAAGATGTTCCAAATCACTAATTATAAGGGAAATGCAAATTAAAACCACAATGAGATATTACCTCACACCTGTTAGGATAGCCAACATAGAAAAGACTAGGAACAACAAATACTGGCAAAGATGCAGAGAAAGGGGAACCCTGCTACACTGGTGGAATGTAAAATAGTCCAGCCATTGTGGAAAGCTGTGCGGAGATTCCTCAAAAAACTAAAAATAGAAATACCATTTGACCCAGGAATCCCACTCCTAGGAATTTACCCTAAGAATGCAGGATCCCAGTTTCAAAAAGACATATGCACCCCATGTTTATCACAGCACTATTTACAATAGCCAAGAAATGGAAGCAACCTAAGTGTCCATCATTAGATGAATAGATAAAGAAGAATACAGAATGGAATATTATTCAGCCATAAGAAGAAAACAAATCGTACTATTTGCAACAACATGGATGGAGCTACAGGGTATTATTCTCAGTGAAATAAGCCAGGCAAAACTGAAGGAACAAAACAGCAGCAGACTCACAGAACCCAAGAATGGACTAACAGTTGCCCAAGGGAAAGCAACTGCGGGGGGGACGGAGGGAGAAAGGGAATAAGTGGCATTACCATTAGCACACATAATGTGGGGTCACGGGGAAGGCAGTATAGCACAGAGAAGAAAAGTAGTGACTCTATAGCATCTTACTACGCTGATGTACAGTGACTATAATGGGGTAGGTGGTGGGGACTTGATAATGGGGAGAATCTAGTAACCACAATGTTGCTCATGTGATTGTATATTAATGATACCAAAATTTAAAAAAAGGGATCGGGCATTCTTATCTAGTATCATATAGTGGGAAAAGTACTCTAAAATTGGAATTATATTAATCTGAGAGGTTAACTTTCATAAGATCTTTTAGGAATAAGTACCAAAATTTAATCAGAAATATGAAATTTCTTGATGGGAGTTTTTTACTAATAACGTAATAATTGGAAACATTATTATAGGACCATCCAGGCAATAAAACAAAGACTAACTTTACAAAGGAAAATACTAAAAAAAAAAGAGAAAAACAAATAGAATTAAGAATTCTTATTGGATTTTTTTAAACAAAAGGTGGTGGAAACCAAACTAATGTGTGGTAGGGAAATTCAGATACCTAAACTATTTTGGAAGGCTGGATTTCCCTCTGACTTCCTCTCAAGATCCTGGCCCAGAATATTGGGGAAGATAGGCTTCAAGTATTTGAACTCATTACCCTCAGAGCCTCCCGACAGGCACACCTCATAGCGGTAGGCCTGGCACAGCGTCCCGCCGCCGCTCACGTCCACCAGGTGGCCCGCAAGGCCGCCCCCGGGCCCCGAGCAGCCCCCCGCAGACGCCGCCCGGGCCCTCGCGCACAGCCGCGCCGCCACGACGCCCAGCACCGACAGCAGGAAGAGCGACGACACCGCCGCCAGGGCCACCACCAAGGACACGGTGAGCGGCTCGGCCCGCGCCTGCTCGGCCGCCGCCTCGGCCCGCGGCAGGTGGGGCTGCGAGAAGCCGTCCACCAGCAGCACGTGCAGCGTGACGGTGGCCGACAGCGGCGGCTCGCCGTGGTCGCGCACCAGCACCGCCAGCCTGTGCCTGGGCGCGTCGCGCTCGCTCAGCTGCCGGGCCGTGCGCACCTCGCCGCTGGGCGCCCACACGCCGAACAGCCCGGGCTCCGTGGCCCTGAGCAGCTGGTACGACAGCCAGGCGTTCTGGCCCGAGTCGCCGTCCACCGCCACCACCTTGGTCACCAGGTAGCCCGCGTCGGCCGCGCGCGGCACCAGCTCGGTGCAGGGCGCAGAGCCGTTCTGCGGCGGGTACAGCACGACGGGCGCGTTGTCGTTGGCGTCCAGCACCTGCACGCGCACCAGCGCCCGGCTGCTCAGCGCCGGCGAGCCGCCGTCGGCCGCGCCCACGCCGAACTCGAAGGCGCGCAGCGCCTCGAAATCCAGGGGCCTCAGCGCGAACAGCTGCCCGGTGTCCGCGCTGATGGACACCAGCGAGGCCAGCGGCAGGCGCGCGTCGCCGGGCGGCAGCAGCGAGTAGGTGACCTGCGCGTTGGCGCCCGAGTCCGGGTCGGTGGCGCTCACGCTGCCGATGTGCAGGGCGGGGCCGTTGTTCTCGCGGACCCACAGGGTGTAGGCGCTTTGGCTGAAGGCCGGGGCGTTGTCGTTGACGTCGGCCACCTGCACGGAGATGCTGTGCTCGCTCTTCAGCCTGGGTGTCCCCAGGTCGGTGACGGTGATGGTGATGTTGAACTCGGCTTGGCTCTCCCGGTCCAGCTTCCCATGTGTCACCAGAGTATAGAAATTCTCCTCAGATGGTTTCAGGAGGAAGGGGAGATCATCCGGGATGGAACAAGTCATCCTTCCGTTGTTCCCTGAGTCTCGGTCTCTAATCCTGAACAGGGCCACTTCTGTCTCCGGGGCATTTTCAGGAATGGGACTGGTAAGTGATGAAATGGTTAGTTCTGGGGCGTTATCATTAACATCCACCACCTCAATGGAGACAGCACATCTTCCAGATAGTCCCCCGCCATCAGACGCATCTATATCCAGCTCATATGAGTCTATTGTCTCAAAATCTAGTTTTTTAATTAGTCGAACTTCTCCTGAAAGGCTGTTTAGCTCAAAAGTTGTGCTTATCTCCTGGGAACTATAAAAAAGGGAGTATGATAGCTCTCCATTTGTCCCGGTATCTAAATCGGTAGCAGAGACCCTGACAATTAGAGAGCCTGCAGGGCTGTTCTCTGGGACCTGCACCTGGTAGAGTGCCTGCGCGAACTCAGGGGCGTTGTCATTGACGTCCAAAACCAAGATGCGGACCTGGGCGGTGCCAGATCTGGGCGGAGAGCCGCCGTCCAGCGCCGTGAGGGTTAATCTGAGCTCTGCCTGCTCCTCGCGATCCAGCTCTTTGTCGAGCACCAGCTCTGGGTATTTCCTGCCATCTCCCCGGTTGCGGGTGGAAACATGGAAATGAGAGTTGTGACTAATAATGTAGCTTTGGATATTGTTGATACCCACGTCCAAATCCTGGGCTGTTTTCAGAGGAAACACGGTTCCAGGAGGTCTAGTCTCTAGGATTTTCAGAGTCATTTCTCTTTCAGGAAACTCAGGAGAATGATCGTTTATGTCTCTCACCAGTAGCTCAGCTCGAAATACTCCCAATGGTTTTTTCAATAACACTTGGAAATAAATTACACATGGGTCAATGGGGCCACACATCTTCTCCCGGTCCAGTTTCTCATTTAATATCAACTCCCCGGTCTGCAGATCAAGCTGCAACCGGGGTTCGTTATCCTCAGAGACCACGCGGGCTCCCCGCGCAGCTAGCTCCCCCACTCCCAGCCCCAGGTCCTTGGCCAGATTGGCCACAGACGAGCCGCTCTCCGTTTCCTCCATTACGGAATAGCGGTGGGATTCCGAACCTGCCAGAGCCTCTCCCAACAATAGAAAGAGAATCAAGACTTGCCTTTGTTTAGGGAAGCGCTCCCCTCCAGCCTCCATCTTTACTTCCAAAAATGCCTTTCCAGGAACAGATCCCAGCTCTACCTTAGGGAACGGTGGGACTGAGACAGTGATGGATCTCTCGGTTGGTAACCTGTTCCGAAATGTTGGTGAGTAGCATTCGATTTACTGGGTCCCGGATTACAGGCTTTTCTCTTCCTCTAGAAATCTGAGGTGAAGTTCGGAGCGTTTCCTGGCCTTTTTTTTTGGCGCCTTAGCCTGCAGCGCCACCATGTGTTGTCTTTGAAAAGAATTGCTACAATTGTATTCTCTATATGATAATCGTCAGCTATTAACAGTTTGGAAATGGTCTGGGGGAGATGATGTAACCAGAAAACCATGCAATTATAATTATTCATTTCTTCATTCGAAGAAGTATTATTGGTATCTATGCACTAGGTTCTGAAATAATCAGTAAGCAACCTAGATATGGTCACTACCTTCTAGAACCTGTAGTCTGGATGTAGTGCTCTGAAAACTGAGAAGTGAACAAAGACAAGAGTGAGCAGTCATCTTGCAAAAATAATGACATATCCCTATGTGATTTCTTAAAATTCTCTCAGAGAAAAGGATTTATTCCTCCATATTTCCTTTCAAATTCTAGGCAGCCTATATGCCAGAATTGTGGTTCCTGTTGATTGAATCACATCAAGTAAAAACCTACCAGTTAATTTCAATGTATGATACCCTTTCTACATAAGGTCAGAGAGTTACGATTTTAAGAGATATTCAAACGGTGGGAAAATTTTGCATATGAAGGCATTTCCTATATGTTACTCTGTGTTTTCTCCTTAGCATTCATCACCATCTAATGTAACACGTATTTGTTTCTTTTATGTGTCATCCTTGAATTCAAGAATGTTATTTGTTCACTTCTACATCCCCCAACATCTAGAATAGTCCCTGTAACATGGTAGATGCTCAACAAATATTTCTTGAATAGATCGATGAATAAATAACAATTAATTTTAAAATTCTGACAGATGGATTCTCCTCCTTCTGTAGAAGCCCCCCTTTTCCCCTGAGATCCTAGTTCATATATGAACTGGGTAAACAAGACACCATGCTTCCAAATAGCTATTTTCCATGCTCTTTTGAATAGTAATTTGAAATAATTCAGCACAATCTAAAATGTTTTGCATTAAATGGCACAATACCCTGGCTTCCCCTAAGCAAAGGGAGACATTCTAAAACAAAAAGAACACCACAGAAAAACCCAACCAGGCTATCATGAGCATACGGATAAGGTATACATTTCTTTTAGAAGCCACTTTACATTGTCAAATTTATTTCACATCAATACTATTATGACACTAATGATATTCAAAAATTTCTTATATAGTAGGATTTCCTAAGAATTTCTGTTAAACATTCCAAAAACTGTATAATTTGGAAAAATCCATCAATTCTTCTCAACATTACACATTCTAACAAAATCTTAGGCTTGCCGCCTACAGACTACTAATATTCCACAACATTTTAATCTTAAATATTATTATACTACTGGGAAAACACAATTTTTAAAACTTTAGTAGTAAGGTTCAATTCATGAAAGAATATCTAAATATGCATTTAATAAGAGGGAAAACCCCACTTAGCTACCTCAATTAAAGGGAGATTTATTAAAAGAGCACATACTTGTTTCCACAAACCTAAGGGAGAAAGCCGACTTAAGGGGAATTGGAAAATCTACAAGATTACTCTTCAGGCATCTACTTCCTTCTTGTCTCTAAATGGGTTGACTTTCTGTGTTTCTTTCCATGTATTCAGCCAACATATCACTTTCTTGTTACGTTCCTAACAGAGAGACTATTATATATTCTAGTTTATAAAACAATTTTTTAAGCAGAGAGAATCAAATTGATTCATCTTCGATTAGCGAAGTCTACTACCTTGTCTGAAATTGCAGGAGTATAAAATATAACATATAAAATAAACATGGTTGTGAAAGTACACTTCTACTGAAGAGAGAACTCTCCAGGAAAAGGCGGTGGTCTATACACACACAAAAAAGGATGTATTATTTAAATAGATTATTTAATTAGATTTAAATATCTTAAAATAATATAACCTTTCAGTAGTATTCATGTATATGATTTATTGAAGGTTGACATAAAGGGGAAAATTCTTTAAGTATGGGAGAATTATAGTCTTTTCCACTTAATGCCACTGTGAAAAAAAAATGCAATTTTTGTAGACATTTCTCCATTTAAAAATTTAACAAAGGTAGTATCAAACAAGATATGCTAATCATTCATTATACTAGTATCGTGCTTGTCTTACAGGTAATAACATTAAAATTTAGAAAAAGTTTCTGGACAACAATAAGAGAATGGGGCTGAGGTCATCCTCAAATCAAGAATACTTAATGATGAACAGTTGGTAAGTTGGACAAATACTTGACTTTTCAGTAATGTAGTAAGTACAGTTGAAAGTTCCTTGTCTCCATCAAAACAGAACTGCTAAAAAGGGAGTAAATATGAGCATATACTAAAAAAAACTCTAATCTTAACTGGGAAAATAAAATGAGCAAAACAACAAGAAATTCTTTGTAGACCAAGAAAGGTAATGTTTATTTAGTATATTTAGAAATAACTAAGCTTCAACCTCAATGTTCAGAAAAATTAGCAAATTCCGAATTAAATTCAAAGCCTTTTACAAAGTTTGAGTTTTCCCCCACATCATTCACAGACGCCTGATAATAGGAGGGATGGGACTTCAAAAACTTAAACTCGCCGGTCCCCGAGCCTCCCGACACGCACACCTCATAGCGGTAGGCCTGGCACAGCGTCCCGCCGCCGCTCACGTCCACCAGGTGGCCCGCAAGGCCGCCCCCGGGCCCCGAGCAGCCCCCCGCAGACGCCGCCCGGGCCCTCGCGCACAGCCGCGCCGCCACGACGCCCAGCACCGACAGCAGGAAGAGCGACGACACCGCCGCCAGGGCCACCACCAAGGACACGGTGAGCGGCTCGGCCCGCGCCTGCTCGGCCGCCGCCTCGGCCCGCGGCAGGTGGGGCTGCGAGAAGCCGTCCACCAGCAGCACGTGCAGCGTGACGGTGGCCGACAGCGGCGGCTCGCCGTGGTCGCGCACCAGCACCGCCAGCCTGTGCCTGGGCGCGTCGCGCTCGCTCAGCGGCCGGGCCGTGCGCACCTCGCCGCTGGGCGCCCACACGCCGAACAGCCCGGGCTCCGTGGCCCTGAGCAGCTGGTACGACAGCCAGGCGTTCTGGCCCGAGTCGCCGTCCACCGCCACCACCTTGGTCACCAGGTAGCCCGCGTCGGCCGCGCGCGGCACCAGCTCGGTGCAGGGCGCAGAGCCGTTCTGCGGCGGGTACAGCACGACGGGCGCGTTGTCGTTGGCGTCCAGCACCTGCACGCGCACCAGCGCCCGGCTGCTCAGCGCCGGCGAGCCGCCGTCGGCCGCGCCCACGCCGAACTCGAAGGCGCGCAGCGCCTCGAAATCCAGGGGCCTCAGCGCGAACAGCTGCCCGGTGTCCGCGCTGATGGACACCAGCGAGGCCAGCGGCAGGCGCGCGTCGCCGGGCGGCAGCAGCGAGTAGGTGACCTGCGCGTTGGCGCCCGAGTCCGGGTCGGTGGCGCTCACGCTGCCGATGTGCAGGGCGGGGCCGTTGTTCTCGCGGACCCACAGGGTGTAGGCGCTTTGGCTGAAGGCCGGGGCGTTGTCGTTGACGTCGGCCACCTGCACGGAGATGCTGTGCTCGCTCTTCAGCCTGGGTGTCCCCAGGTCGGTGACGGTGATGGTGATGTTGTAGTCGGATTTGCGCTCTCTGTCCAGGGGTCCCTCTGTTACCAGCTTGTAGAAATTTTCAACGGAAGGTTTTAAAAGGAACGGAACATCTTCCTGGAGGAAACAAACCGTTTTCCCATTTTCGCCAGAGTCTCGGTCTTGAATAGTGAATAGAGCTATCGTGGTCTCTGGGGAATTTTCAGGGATGGAGCTTCTTAGTGAAGCCATCTTCAGTTCTGGGGTATTGTCGTTTACATCCACTACCTGTATTATGACCTGCCCCATCAGAGGCCTTGATATCCACCTCATATGACATAATTTTTTCAAAATCTAGTTTCTTACTTATTTTAATTTCTCCTGTGAGTTCGCTAAGAGCAAACGTCCTAGTAATCTCTTCATCTCCATAAAAAAATGAGTAGAACACTTCACCGTTTATTCCAGTGTCTATATCTCTAGCGGAAACAGTGACAATAAGGGATCCCAGAGGACTGTTTTCCAGGATCTGCACGTGATAGAGTGGCTGGGCAAACTCAGGGGCATTGTCGTTGATGTCCAGGACATCAATGAGGACCAGGGCGGTCCCGGTTTGGGGAGGAGCTCCACCATCTATTGCCATGAGAGTTAACCTGATCTCAGGCTGCTCCTCTCGATCTAGGGCTTTGTCCAGAACCAGCTCCGGGTATTTTCTGCCCTCACTACCATTGCGGGTAAGAACATGGAAATGGGAGTTGGGGTAGATGGTGTAGTTTTGAACATTATTGATGCCTACGTCCAAATCTTGTGCATTTTTCAGGGGAAACACAGTCCCTGGGAGAGTATTTTCCATAATTTTCAAAATCATTTCTGCTTCTGGGAACACGGGGGAATTGTCATTTATGTCACTGAGCAAAAGCTTAAATTTATATATTTCCAAAGGTTCTTCCAGTAACACCTGAAATTTCAACACACATGGCTCAGTGGAGCCACACAGTTCTTCCCGATCCAGTTTCTCATTTACTTCTAAATCTCCGGTCTGAAGGTTCAGCTGAAAATGTTTTTTATTATTGTTAAAAATGACTCGAGCCCTGCGCCAGGACAACTCTCTTATCCCTAGCCCTGTGTCCTTTGCTAGATTCGCCACAAAAGAACCACTCTCAGTTTCTTCCGCTATGCTATAATCTTCCTGCTCCGCGCAAACCTGAGCCAGCAAAACAAAGAGAAGAACTTGCCTTAGTCTAGGAAAATGCTCTTCTTCCGCCTCCATTTCTCCAACGCCAGAAAGCTTCAGGGCCTGGCCCCTGTGTTGTGTCTGTAAGCAGTTGGCCTTGGGAGTCAATCCTTGCCGAAAGGTAATGCAGTTAAGAAGCCTCTGCTCTTACGTAGATGTGTGTGTATGACTGCCGCAACAGTAACCCTCCGCAGCTGTGTTTTTCTCAGCCTTAGCTTACAGCGCCACCATGTGTTGTACTTAAACCTAGTCGGCTGAAAATGCTGCAAAGGTCGTCTGTCTCATTTATTTAGATTAATGCTCATACTTACACAAACCACGGATTATATATGGATGGTTCACATATAAAAACGATAACTTTTATTTTTCCCTCAGCCTGTGAATGTGGAAATGGTGCCAGACTCTTCAGGAAATGATGCAAGAGCAAAGCTAATTATGTTTATTCAACAAATACTTATTGGTTTCATATTATATGTCAGGCACTGTACTAAATGCTGGGACTACAGATTCCTTCTCTGACTTCATGGAGTTTACAGTATAATGTATACTCTGTTGTACAGTTTGTGGTCTCAGAGAAAATCAAGTAGAAAAGTAAGGAAAGAATATACAGTTAAATTCTTAACCCATTGCTATCAGAGTCTAAGAAATTCACTCATGTTTCAGCAGTACAAACTTAAGTGATAAACCAGCTAGAACTGGTCTGTTGTGCACTCAATAGACAGCTTAAGGGGTTGTAGTTAACTTATCTGTAAATAATTTCTAAGGGGAATGTCTATATACCTCCATGAGCATGTTATATGACTTGTTCAATCAAAAACAATTTGTAAAAATCCTCTACATTTATTACTAAAACTAAGATACGTATATGTTGATGCTGAGATTCACAGAGATTTTGAAAAGTGGGATAGTCAAGATCACAAAAATAGGCTGAAGTTAAAGTAAAAAAATAAAACATAGAAGTAAAAAGGTTAGATTCATCTGAAACAGCAGGTTAAACTTATTCCCAAGTAGGAAAGATTGGAATTCATTTTTAGCAAGCAACTGACATATCGCTTGTGGGTAGCCTGGGATCCTGACACCTAGATTGGAACTAAAGTTCTTGTACTCCTAACGACAGGATAAACATCTTGGGGTGGGGGACATGGGGCCTCCCCAATTGCACTAAACTTTAGCCAATATTTTAATAATAATATTTAAGTAACAGACACTCTCATGTATTCTTGCATTCCAGTTATCTGGCTAACTGGGCCAAGTATAAAAATTGTGTTGCATATTGGTTTAATTCTATTAAGGTACAGATCACTCAAACTGATGCTGTTTTAGAATGTTTTCCTCTATACAGTGGAAGAAATTTAATAAGGTAAACTTTCAAAATATAAAAACATGCTAGTCATAGTTAAAATCTGATAGATCATTTTCCTCATGGAAAGATTTGGTTATGGATCCCAACTCCTTATTATGGAATTAAATGTTCAAGAAAATGTGCCCTTAATGCCCACACATTTTTAAATATTAATGGATAGAAGCTGGTACTTAATGTTAGTAAGCAAATGGGTAAAAATTAGTTTTTCATTTGCAACTCTCAGATAAATTTTCTCTTCTAAGAAGAAAATTTTAAGGCTTAGTCTTGGGTGGAAACATGAACACTTTTTCATGAGGCTGTCTAGTAATAGAATATTTGTCAATCAAATAATATTACTATTAATGAATCATGAATCAAGCCATATGATCTATAAATTAGATTGTGTATAAGTCCTGAAGATTTTATATCAAATAATAAAATAGTTCTGTTCATACTGAATTCAGTAAATCGTTTTTAAAAGAAAGAAGTGCCAAGGAGGGTATGAGGTAAAGACAACCAAACAATAACAATTTCAGTGTTACCTTTTAAACCTGATCCTGGGGCACATAAAATAATGGAGGGAAACCTGTTAACCATAAAACCTTTGTAGCAATTTTTGTTGTTGAAATAATTAAACTATTTACAAAACTAAATTTTGTAATAACAGTCTCTAGTACAGATTATCTCCAAGCTGGCATGTTGACTGAGTTAATATTAGATATTCACAATAAAAGACCTTGGTTTGATGGTATATAGTCTAATTGAGTCCTTAAGATAGCATATGTCTTTCCTGTTTCTCTTGTTTCGAAAAGAGCCCTTCTCCCCAGGATAGGGAAAGTCAAGGAGTTTTATTATTAGGAAACAGGAATCTTACTGGAGAAGTCAAGGACAATTAGACTTGGGAACACTGGAATGAGGATTGACAGGGCTACAAACAAGAGCGGCCTCAGACTCTACTCTTCCTTAGGCTTCTGCAGCCTCTACTCTCTTCCCTTCCTTCCTCCTTTCCTTTCTTTCTTAATGACTTTCTGTATTGCCAGCCCACACAGGCATAAACGTGTTTATTTACCTCAAAGTTTAACGTTTTTTTCCTAGTTAAAGCAATCAAGAAAAAAAAAAAAACCCAAACAGATGAATGACCCTTAATTGCAAAGTGAGGGGTTTGGAGAATGTGATGATTCCGCTTTAATCAGGAATCTATCACGGAGCCAATCAAAAATGGCCAGGAGAGGCAAAGAAAAGTAGCGTAAACTTTCAAAATTCTATTGGCATGTTATTTTAGAATATTTTCCTCTACACAGTGAAACAAATTTGATAAAGTAAGTTCTAATACAAGAAGTGTGGGCGGAATATATGTCTTATATATCCAATACAACAACATCCACCAGTTAACAAAACATTTATAAGAAAAATACTGAAATGCAGAAAAAGACTGAAGTAATTGACAGGAAAAAAATAGAAAGCAAAGATTGATTATATATTTTCTAAAAAATCTAAAATAACATCTTAAAAACTATGCATGCTTTTGTTCATACCATTCATTTTCCTCTAAAATAATAGTATCAGACATATAAAAACTGTTTTGATGAGAGGATCTAGAGCACAGAATACCCAGAGAATATATGACTGAGCCCAGTGTGCAATTAAGCTTGAAGGGAAAATGCCATATATCTAAATTATTTTAGGTTGCATTTTGGAAGAAAGGCTAAGCAAATTCTAGCTCTTTTCGTTTTCTTTTTAAGCATAAAGAAAAGCAGAAAATAGACAAATTACTGAAATTTCTGAAAATTCAAGTAAAATGAAGTCACCCAAATCAAAAAGCTTACATTACAATCAATAAATTTTACAAACAAATAATACTTATTCTAAAAGCTTTGCAATGGAATCATATCCCTAATTGAAACCAAAGCCATTCAGAAAGGTGTGGTTTTCCTCCCTTTCAGCGTCCTGGGGGTGGAGGCTGGGAAAAACCGGTTTAAGGAACTTGAACTCGCCGGTCCCCGAGCCTCCCGACAGGCACACCTCATAGCGGTAGGCCTGGCACAGCGTCCCGCCGCCGCTCACGTCCACCAGGTGGCCCGCAAGGCCGCCCCCGGGCCCCGAGCAGACCCCCGCAGACGCCGCCCGGGCCCTCGCGCACAGCCGCGCCGCCACGACGCCCAGCACCGACAGCAGGAAGAGCGACGACACCGCCGCCAGGGCCACCACCAAGGACACGGTGAGCGGCTCGGCCCGCGCCTGCTCGGCCGCCGCCTCGGCCCGCGGCAGGTGGGGCTGCGAGAAGCCGTCCACCAGCAGCACGTGCAGCGTGACGGTGGCCGACAGCGGCGGCTCGCCGTGGTCGCGCACCAGCACCGCCAGCCTGTGCCTGGGCGCGTCGCGCTCGCTCAGCTGCCGGGCCGTGCGCACCTCGCCGCTGGGCGCCCACACGCCGAACAGCCCGGGCTCCGTGGCCCTGAGCAGCTGGTACGACAGCCAGGCGTTCTGGCCCGAGTCGCCGTCCACCGCCACCACCTTGGTCACCAGGTAGCCCGCGTCGGCCGCGCGCGGCACCAGCTCGGTGCAGGGCGCAGAGCCGTTCTGCGGCGGGTACAGCACGACGGGCGCGTTGTCGTTGGCGTCCAGCACCTGCACGCGCACCAGCGCCCGGCTGCTCAGCGCCGGCGAGCCGCCGTCGGCCGCGCCCACGCCGAACTCGAAGGCGCGCAGCGCCTCGAAATCCAGGGGCCTCAGCGCGAACAGCTGCCCGGTGTCCGCGCTGATGGACACCAGCGAGGCCAGCGGCAGGCGCGCGTCGCCGGGCGGCAGCAGCGAGTAGGTGACCTGCGCGTTGGCGCCCGAGTCCGGGTCGGTGGCGCTCACGCTGCCGATGTGCAGGGCGGGGCCGTTGTTCTCGCGGACCCACAGGGTGTAGGCGCTTTGGCTGAAGGCCGGGGCGTTGTCGTTGACGTCGGCCACCTGCACGGAGATGCTGTGCTCGCTCTTCAGCCTGGGTGTCCCCAGGTCGGTGACGGTGATGGTGATGTTGTACTCGGCTTGGCTCTCTCTGTCCAGTGGCCTCTCTGTCACTAGGGTGTAAAAGTTCTTGAATGTGGGTTTCAACAGAAAGGGGAGATCATCTTGAATGGAGCAAACCACCCTCCCGTTGTCCCCAGAGTCTTGGTCTCGTACGCTAAAAACAGCGACCACCACCTCAGGCGACGAATTTTCTGTTATGGGGCTGGTAAGAGATGTCATGAGTATTCCTGGTGGGTTGTCATTCACATCTACAATCCGAACTAAAATTGTTGATTTCCCCGAAAGGCTTCCACCGTCAATTGCCTGAACATTTATTGTATAAGACTGAACCAACTCAAAATCCAGAAGCGCTTTTAAATGAATTTCACCAGAAATTGGATGCATTTCAAATGTTTTCTGTATTTCCCTTGAGACGTGGGAAAACGAGTAAGATAGGTCTCCGTTTATTCCTGCATCTAAATCTGTTGCAGACAGCTTGAGGACCAAGGAGTCCAAAGGACTGTTTTCTGGTACCTGAACCTCATAGACAGGCCTCTCAAACTTCGGAGCATTGTCATTGATATCTAATACCAAAACACGAACCAGCGCCGTCCCGGACCTGGGCGGAGACCCGCCGTCCAAGGCTGTCAGCGTTAATCTAAGCTCAGGCTCCTTTTCTCGATCCAGCGATTGGTTCAGGAACAGCTCTGGGTATTTTCTGCCCTCATCATTTTCTTGTAATTTAAGGTGGAAATGAGGGTTGGGGCTTAATGTGTAGTTTTGGACACCATTCTTTCCTACATC